AGTTGCGCAGGCACCCAGTGATAGGTGCGAAGAGGACAGATCACGGTGTTAATCCGACATCTGGCCAATTGGGCTCTCGTATCCAACCGACGGCCCCCTATGGATCACAGTCTCGGCTCCAGACTCGTATACGTAGTTGTATCCGTAGACTCGGGTTCGTCTTTCAACTTATCGCCCAAAAAGGGCTGCTTATCTCGCCCACACGGGGCTGATAGCAGCCCACGTGATGATAGAGCCCCCTACAATCCAACCTCCATCAACAAGCGGGTAAAAGAAAACAGGGCTTCGGCGTAGGGTGGGAAAAACGTAAACAACAGTCGCGCACATTGGATCGCGTCGGGATATTTCACAGCACACAAACACAAACTACAGGAGGTGTAGGAGTCAAGTCTGCAGTACGACATAACACAGAAACTTCATCATCCATTCGGTATAATTACAGCTTTCCAATCATCGGGCCTCCCCGAAAATTCTAAAGACAATCCGAAACAGCAGCCCCTTGGTTCGCAGCGCAGGTTACGCCAAAGACGGTCCGTCCTGCGCCGTTTGTGTACCGCCCAAGTTCATGCTCGTTAGCCCTGCTGCGTAGAATTCTCTTTTCCCCCGCCAAATCGCCGCCGCGATGATGTAACATGAAAAAGCCGCCCAAGAGAATATCCAGTAGGTATCGTCAGCAGGAATATGCGATGCAAAAAAAGGCGCGCGCTTTTCAGCGGTGAGTCCCCCTCTCCAAATCATCCAATCCGAGGCCCGGCGCGCCAGCCAGCCAGTTCCCACCATATCCCATTTGCGCTGTATGTCACCGCCATCATCAGAATTCAAAAAACGATGTCCCGCAAATAAAAAAAAGATACATGACTGCCCAGTGCAAACCCCGCGCTTGTCGTGAGAACGCGTGCCGATGAACCAACCCTCGCCAATGTTCCCAAGCTCCCTAACGCCAGTCCCAAAAAGCCGTCACGTCACAGTAAGAAAAAGACATCATAAAAAGTCAGACAACAGAGATCAAAGGCATCATGCTGCTGCTGCCGGTGCCTCGGCCTTCTCTGCTTTCTTTGGTGTCTTTTCCTTCTTGGCGGCAGCCTTCTTCGGTGCAGCGGCCTTCTTGGCGACTGCTGGCTTGGCTGCCGTCTTTGCGACACGACCCGACTTGGTCTTGGTCAGGACTGTGGGCTTCTCAACAACAGCAGGTGCCTGAGCGCGCTGTTAGATTGTTTGTTTTGGCACGGCCAGGTGAGGATGCATATCAACCAACCTTCTTGGGCGCGGCGGGCTTCTTCTCCTTCTTGGGAGCAGCAGCGGGCTTCTTCTCCTTGGGCTCCTTCTTGGTGGCAGGAGCCTCCTTCTTGGGGACAGCGGCCTTCTTGGGCGCGGCCGCGGGCTTCTTCTCCTTGATCTCCTTCTTGGGAGCAGCCTCCTTCTTTGGTGCTGCCACCTTCTTGGGAGCGGCGGCGGCGGGGGCCTTCTTGGCCAGCTTGGTGCCACCTGAGGCACCCTTGGGCTGCTCAAACACACCCTTGGTTACACCGGCTTTCAGGGCCTTGTTGAATAGCGAGTCGAACATCTTGTCGCCAACATTGATGGTGTTGTTGGCCTTGACATACTTCTTGAGTGATTGCCGACTGGTCGCGGTGTTAGTGTGATGCGCAAAGAGAGCAATGGAAATGAGCAGTGCGAACCCAACCCTATCGGGTTTGCGGGTCGACGGCGACAATGATGGAAAGAATAATGTGTCTCTTACCTGGAGCCATTGCGGTCCTTGAGCTGGAATGCGGGAAACCGAGTCAGCACGATTTTTTCTCATTGCATGAAATTTACGAGGGGCATTGGTGCAATGCGGGCGGCAAGCATCACGAGCTTCACTCGGAATTGCATTGCCGACCAGTCGCCGACACCAAATGCGCCGGAAGCAGGGAACGGGGGTAATTACCGCGACAATAGCATCAGTGATCATGGCCTAATTCTTGTTAGATACGGATCATGATTCAAAAGGGCCGGTGTCAAAGCCGCTTACCTGGTAGGAGCCGTGGGTGGGCGCTGGCTTGGCCGCCTTGGGGGCAGCAGTCTCAGCGGGTGAGGTCTTCTTGGGAGGCATCTTGATTGTTTGTGTGGGTGGACTAAGAAGCGTGGGATGTGCTGAAATTTGAAGCGGATGAAACGGCTGGTCTTGCGCGCTTTGGATGAGATAAAATAATATGGATCGTATTTGAATTCGTATCGAGAGGAACCTGGGACAAGATGGTGGGCGGGCAGTCGCGCTCGAGGAGGGCAGCCCGGGTGTTTATATATGGGGGCGGGGGTGTGGTTTGCCCTCGAGTGATTGCGCGGAGTGAGCCCTGAGCTTCACTGGTCTCACAACACACCTGCAGGCCATTTCCCGGGGCAAAGCTCACGGCTTGGTGAAAACCTTGGCCCGTGCTCCCCGCTGGAAGACCTGAAGGCTGCGGCAGCTTTCAGCGGGGAGCATTGAGCTCCCGTCAGCAATTGATGCCTCTGTCGGAGCTTGGTTGAAGCTCCGTCCCATCCCCTCGATGCAGCTCCTCATTGTCCCTCATTCATCGAGTGCCGGGTTGCTGCCCGCCGACCCGCCTTCCCCCAGGCTGTCGGGCAGGTTGAGGTTATGAACGAGCAGATCAGGTGGAACCACCTGGCAACTCCCCCCCCTCGTCTCGCGGAGGTGAGGTGGCATGGCACCAGTGCCGCATCGCGGGCAGCAGGGCGAGGTGTGGCAAGCCGTTCCAGGTCGGTCAGCCCAACGTTCCAGCGTGCGTGGCTTCTGCGATTCCGCAATTCAATTATCATCACGTTTCCTTTCCACTTCCTGCTACCCCATTTCCCGGATCGATGCCCGACTTGCATTGCGCTTCTGCGATGGCTGCCCTGGCCGTGCTCGCATGCCTCACCCGCGATCCTAAGGCTTGGTTCCCAACCCCCGAGCACACATGTGGTGCTGTCGCACATGGCCTCGAGCGACAGACGAAAGACGTGAATTGTCCTGCGCCTTCATGCGCCCACCTGCGTTGTGCTACTGTGGAGAACTCGCCCTCGCAAGCGACTCGGGAGCCCGCCGAGTGCTGGTGTGCCGCGTTTCTTAGTCGCCTCGATCACTTGCCGCCCCGGCTTTTGCGCTTTCCCCCTTTTGGCGAGCTCGCGGCGGCCATTTAAATCGGAAACGTCGAAAAACTCGCAGCACACCTTTTTTCTGATTGGCCCGTTCAACAACAAGTCATCCACTTTGTACCTCGCGTTGTCAATCATGCGCGCCCCGCCATCGACGAGGCCGCAAAGCTCTCACTCTCTGATCTCGAGCTCTCGCCGTCCCCCATCGCTCGACCGTGAAGCCTTCCTCTGCTTCTCTCGCTTCTTCGCACGCCCTCCCACACCGATTCCAGGCTCCGTTACCTTTGCGCGTTTGCATCCCAATTTTCTGTAATTTTTTCGGCCCCATATCGGCCCTAACTTGGTCGGCGCGAGTTGTTGCCGTCCGGGCCCCGAAATCGACGTCGCGGCCGCTTTTTGGGGCGCGATTCTGCCTTTCTTTCTGTCTTCGCGACCACCAAGACTTGGAAGCGCATTCGCAATGGCGCCCACACAACCCCTGCTTTGCTGTATTCAAATGACTGGATATGCATCTCCTCGATGCCAGTTTTGTCGTCGTCACATTTTGCCCCACGTTGCGGCTCCTGTTTCAGAGATTTCTGGGTCTACGTCCAAAGTCACGATTGGTGATGTTGCGCGGCGCCCCGCGGCGAACAGCCATGAAGCTATCCGCACATCAACCACTCTCCCCTTTTTTTGTGCCCAACGTCCACCCATATCAACTCGAATAACCGCTAGCATCGGTGAATCGTTGAGTTGAGTCACTGGCTTCAATTTTTCTTATTTTTGCGCGTCATTCTGTGCCGCAGTCACCGTAATTCAGGCACCAAGAGTTTGCGTCCTAGATTTAGTGCCGTGTCGGTTTTGCTGCGCATCTCCCAACCAGCTCAAAAGGATCGACTTTTCTACCAACCAGTGCCGCTGGATTAACCAGGTTGCGCCTCGGTGAGGCACCTACCATTACGTGAACGGCTTGCCGCCGTGATGCGATCCCATCACGCGCTGCGACTTTAGTCTGCACATCATTTTTGAAGAATCGAGCGCGTGTAATTGGACTGGTGTGCATATACTTTTCGAGAACCTCATGACCAGCACACTTTGACGGATAATCCGTACAGGACGCAGGATGGATTTCCGGCCACCAGAAACAATTGCATCCCATCCGAGTCCTTTTGACTTTTGCACCCGATTCAAGCTCCTCGGCCCACCCGAGTGACACAGTGTTACTTTCAGTCACTTTGCACAAAGTGCTGCACTCGCGCCGCAACAGTGAATGACGATGCTATTACATATCTGGTTTGATGAATGCGAACAGTGGTTCGATGCCAGCCACCGAAACCCAGGAATACCAAAGGATTCGGCGCACTTCCCAACATCCAAACATGCCCTCCTACCTCGGCTTAGTCCACTGCACTATGGTACCGAGTCCCAGCCCCATAAAACAGTACCTTCGTGGCAATAGTGCCATGTCTACCGGAAGCCATCACCACAAATGTCTTGGGTACCTTAGCATGACTCCTTGTAGTGTTTTTGTCTCCGGACCACGCCTAGGTGTTGAGCTGGAGTATGATAAAAATGCAAAGCCTTCCAGCAGTAATTACTGGGCTATTTGGACACCCTCGCATCCAACCCTGCCAGTATCGCCGTACAGTCATAGTCAAGTTAAATAGATAGATGAACATTGCATTTGCTGTCTGTTCTCCAGTGACCCGGCTGCCTTGTTTGACTTCTCACAGTCCCTGGCTTTTCCCTCGGGCAGTAGGCCATACACCTGTAGCACGGTCTCTCACAAGCCCTTCATAAACCCCGTTTCGAAAGTATCCCACATCCGTCCTCTCCAAACCCGCCTTCCCACCCCACCATCGCCACCATTGCCCGGCGACATGAATACAACTTAGCAAGGCAACATGGCCGAGCGGTTAAAGCGCCACGTTAAGGTCAACACTTGATACAATATCTTGATTCCGTGGTCCGAAAGGGCGTGAGTTCGAATCTCACCGTTATCAATCTACTTTTGCCGGGCAGTCTCTTGTCAGTCTCCGAAGACTGGCTTGTTCTATCGTTCTCTCTTTTGGACATGAATCCTTCTCGACACTAGCAACGGCAGGGCATATCTTCGGGGGCATGCATAACCATGGTTCTAAAATAGAAGAGTGCGACGAGCGTACGTCAAGGTGTCATCCATATCGATGCGGATACGTGGTCGGGGAATGACACAGCGCGAGTGACTATGGACCATTTAACTGTTACCGTCAATAAATAACCATGGACACAGTGACCCTCATTCGCGCGCATTTGAGTAGTTTTGTTGCCCCTCTGTGTTGTATGGGATTGTTATGTTTGGCGATCTGTCGCGCTGTGTGGGAGTTATCACCATGAACCACCGCTGCTCGCTACTGCACATCTCATGGCGCCCAGAGACTGTCGCAATTGTCAAGGTTGACAAACCTTAGATGAGTTCAATTCGTGGAGTTCAAATTATTTATGAGATCAACTATTTGTGTTTGCTTCATGAACATACTTTCCTCCATGTCCATGCCAAAAACACTGTTGCTTTCAGCAATACTACCTATCTTCGACCAAAAATACAACAGCCCCAAAGTTTCGATAAAAGTGACAACGAGCAGCGAAGTACATCCCACACGGACGACACTAGATAGTCGAGACACTTTGATGGGTATGTTGGCTGTAGGTGGTCTTGGGCGTGTGGTGTCGGTGGAACAAATATTGCAACCTGAGATGTTTTGGGTACTTGAGCATTAGACACAAATGTTCCGTAAGACGCCGCGGAATCATGCTAGTCCCATTGCAAGGCTACTATGGTTAATTATTATCCTACGTGAACCGTATTCTGGAAGTATGGTTAGCTGAACAATGGAAGTCAAGAACATACTACCCAAGGTACATGGTACTATTTCACTAGCTTCCTAAACACGACAATCCGATAACATATGGAGAATCATGTCTTTATGGATTATCTCAGGTCCTTCGCCCTTTCCTTAAGAAATAACCATGCACTTTTAAAGACTTCATACTTGCTCTATCGCGACCCGAGAAAGGTACCGGAGCTCCTGACTCTTGTTTGCAGTATGCGTCTACATTAAGATACGTATCACTTGAACACTTCTACACCAAAACTCATCCTGACATTTATTCTCATTTGCCCATGTCTTACACTTCCCTCTCATACACAGAAATTTATTAATGTAGTAAAACCATAAGTCGACCAAAGCGAGAGGGGTTCATGTTTCACGAATCATAACAACTTCACCACAACCAGTTTCGATATCCGTTTTTGACCAACACCAGGAATTGTTTACTCAAGAGAGGGTATCCCACCTCAAAGTTACTACCCGCAAGACTTGGACCTATCAAACTCTAACAGGTCAGTCCTGGGCGACAAGCATGCCTTCGGCATTTATCTACACAGCCATATTCACATTGCCCTCACGTAACACTAGGACCTGGAACTCAAGCATACTACTGCGCACGCAACGGACTCATGTTAAACGCTACCCACTACGAATGAACAACTCGGACATAAACATGGCGAGATAGTACAACTCAGCTTTACATCATACATATATTGTGTTCAACCATGTACTACCCCCCAACACAACTCAGCAACAACAAGTAGGTACCAAGCATGATATGCTTCACTTCAGATATGACACTCGATATGGGTGCTTCCTATGACCATACATGCAACACCCCCCTAACCTGGCACGCTCCTAAAACAAGAGACCGCCTTCACTCAACCCCAACGCCATGCCAATGTTTGCCGTACTGATGCCAGTATCGGATGCTAATGCAACATAAATTTGATAACCATTTACCTTGAAATCAAGGGGAAAAACACCCGCAATGTTTCCTCCTGTTCCGGTGCTCTTATCGGCCTCCTTAAGTAGAGAATTCCCCAAAAGACAAGACTAGCCCACTTGTCAAAGCCGGATGGGCTCAGGCGTAAAACTTCTTGTCCAGTATATTCAATGCCCTCTTGTCCTCCATGAGCAATCGCTGTCCTGTCCCCATTCCATTTGTAGGCGTCCCGTCGGCGTTACTGACGGCATGCTGGGTTCTTGGTGAGCTATTCGCGCTGTTGGCGCTGCCTGGATTCGCACTGCCGGGCTCCGAATTCGAAGGGCTCGGGTGCAGAAGCAATGCCGAGAGACTGGCCTTGGTGCTTGCCGCATTGGGTGGGAGCGGTCCTTTAGAATCGGAGTGTGAACTTCGCGGAGGCGAGGCCGATAGTGCCCTCAAGGGGGGTGTCGCATTGGGCCTTACTCCGTGCTGCGAGTGATGTGGCGCTAGCGATGGGAGTGGCCCTTGCGGGCTGCGGGTGTTATGACCTGCCAGCAGCGGGTCCATCTTGACTGCTTCCCTGGCCTGCGCTTGTAGGTGTTGGGATCGTGGCGAGTCAATTGGGGCCATCCGGGTTGATTGTGACATGTGTGGCGATTGGTGCGTGTTCTGTTGCTGGTATTGTGGTAGCGGCTGCGGCAGTCCGACTTTGGGCTGCAGTTGCTGCGGTTGCGGTAACTGTTGTGTAGGGTGTAGTAGTTGTTGCAAAGGCGGTGGTAACTGCTGTGAGGGTTGCGGCGGCGGTAACGGCGAGCGTTCGTACGGGGGAAGACCGGGTTGATATTGCGGGTGCTGATGCTGGTGCGGGTGTTGCTGTTGACCTAGGTGCTGCTGCAGATGTTGCTGCTGTTGGTGATTCTGTTGCTGCTGCAGGTGCGGGTGCGGGTGCGGGTGCGGGTGCGGGTGCTGCTGTTGCTGTTGCTGTTGCTGTTGCTGCTGCTGCTGCTGTTGCTGTTGCTGTTGCTGTTGCTGCTGGTGGTGCTGGTGAAGGCTAGAAAAGGTGTGTTGTTGCTGCAGGGGAGGGAGTGACGCTGGTGGGTAGGACGGCGGGGCAGTCGTATAGTGGCCGTGGCTGTACGGCGGTGTCGCAACTGGCGAAGGCGGCCAATATTGTTGTTGGTACTGGGGAGGATAGCCTTGATGCGGCGGCGGGCCTTGCTGCTGTGGGTGGTGCTGCATGTATGGCTGCTGCATAGGCACTCTCGTCAAGGCGGGCCCGGTGTTCTCACTGAGGCTCGACTCTGGATACATGCCCTTGACGGGAACAACATTCCGGAGATTTGGGTCGTTGGTGGGAGTTGTCAGATCTTGCGGCCCCCTCGAGAAGTACGAGATTAAGTGAAGATGCTGGCCAGTAGATGTTGTGATACTGAAAGACTGCTTCATGAGCCCATCGGCCTTGTACCGGTATCCGTCAGGCTCGCCGTCCTCTTGGTCCTCGTCACTACCGCGGCCAGAGTCGGGAGTCTTTCCGGCGCCTCTCCGGCTGCCACCAAAGCCGTTGCCTCGCTTTCCCTCCATTTCTCGATACGTCAAGAAGCTTCCGGACACGCGGCTGGCACTCCATGATTTCCCGTCAGTCCATCTGCGCATGCCGGCTTCCCGCTCGTCCCAAACAAAGACCGAGCCGGACCGGATGGCTTGCCTCTCCTTCTCGGACAGTCTTCGTTGTACGCGTGGGAGTAGGCCGAGTCTGCAAGCCTCAAAAAGCTTGATGGCATCGCTGGGTGTCCGCACAAAGCCGAAATATGTCTCCATCTTCGCGACAATGGTTGGCCTTGGTGGTGGGAAAGAATCGCCTAATTGACGGGAGCGGGCTGGGACGGGGGCTCCCTTTATCTAGTTTTACCTTTTTCAAAGCCTCCGTCTCGGCCTCGGTAAAAGATCCACCATTTAGGGCCGGTCAGGAAAGGATTGGGTTCTTCAATCGGCAACGATACCCGTTTTTGGGGAGGGCACGCGGTGCGTGGTGATGCGGCAACTCCACCAGTTGAACCCCTGGTTGTGCGGTTTGGGGGGGGGGGCGAGCTTAATGTTGCAGGATAAAAAGGCAACTCTAGTCGGGAGGGCAGGTGGTTGCGGTGAGGGCGAGCGTGGCCGAGAGGGTCAGTTGAGGGCGTTAGTTGGGTCAATCTGAGACGTCGCGACGGGGGGGGCAGGCGGAGGGATGGTGGGGAGACTTCTGGTCTTGGCGAAGGGTAATGTCAGCCTTTTGTGGAGTCGGTGGGATTCTCAGGTTCGATCAGATTCGCTCAGGCTGGGCAGAGATGCTCGAAGATGTGAGGATGTGACGGAAGCTTAATCCAAACGGGCTTGAACTGACTGTGCCTTGAGCAGTTCCATGCATGGAGACTCCCCTGTCAACCCCTGGGAGTGGAGCGGCAGGCATTGGGGGCATGGGGCATGGAGCATTGGAACATCGACCGCTGGGGCTCAGATCAGAGCGGTAGTGGAGTACGTAGATGTGTACACAGTACTGCTGCGTCCGTCCGGCTGTAGCGGAGCGGAGGACAGTGGTGCGTGGCACCCAAATCCTCTTCTTGACACAGCCCAAGCAACGCACCCACCCAACACAAAGGCAGAGCGAAATCCGAGCAAGCGCCCGGGGCCCACGCACTTGACGGGATATAGTGATGAATCTGAGCCATGCCGGCCGCCGGGGCAGACTGCAGATGGGGGAGGATTGTGGCAGAATGTAAATTCGGCTGCGACTTGCCAACATCGGGCCCCACCTTGTGCACTTGCTTCCATTCTTGATGTGGGTCAGGATACGAAATGGTGAGGGATGATGTGGTATTTAGGTATGGCTCAAGTGGGTTTGGGAGGTGAGCGGTGCCCCGGTGTACCCTCTTTGCGCCATCTCGAGCTCTCTGTGGTTGTTTTGGGTGGTACCCCCTTCTCTGTCGAATGGCTGTTTCGCGGCACCTGCCTGGGAATGCGAAGGATCGGTAGAGATCGAGATCAGGTCCGAAAGGCCAGTAATACCCCCAAGGTTTGGGCAACCAGGAGGATTCAAACGTCATGTAGCGAAGCTTTTGACAATCCCAAATGCAGCGCACGCGCGATACGGTGTGAAGCGTGGCGGCACAAGAGGAAAATGACAAAACAACGGAAATCTAACATACTCTGCTTCTGCTGTCGGAAA